GTACAGATGATACAGACTAACTACTGGACGTATATTCACCTAGAGAAACCACACAACAGCCAGGGGCTGCTGGGGTTGGTTCTGCAACGTCCTGTAAAGGATACGCAACTAACCTCATAGATACAGACTGCACTTAGGCTCGGTCTGAAAAGAATGGCACTGTGAGGAGGTACAATGAGATCTGGCCGGCGCTCGATACTCAGGGGGAAGGCGAGACGGATATACAATCAGACAGTTACTGGTACCATCAGAAGGGTAATTCTTCCCATGCTGCTGAAGATGGCTACGGAGCGCTTATGGGACTGTCCCGATTGCTGCGATGTCAATTCTTAATTCAACATTCAAAATTCAACTTGGGCTTGTGTTGTTATTGTTTGCCTGGCAGGTTTTTAGTAGCCAAACGCCCCGAAGACTCCATAAAATATATGCCTATCTGGCCATCTTCTTTTCTCAACCATTGTTCTGACCACTGTTCTATACAATAAAAGTTATCTGGTCTGGTACTAGACCCATGAGTCTTCAGACAGCGCCAAGTAGTCGTAGCACCATTTGTCTATGAATGAGTCATCAGACAGCGCCAAGTAGTCTTGGTACCATTTGTCTACCCATAAGTCATCAAACAGCGCCAAGTAGTCCTAGCACCATTTGTCTACCCATAAGTCATCAGACAGCGCCAAGTAGTCCTAGCACCATTTGTCTACCCATGAGTCATCAGACATCGTCAAGTAGTCTTGGCACCATTTGTCTTTTATGTCACATTTTAACATGTTTTTCAATTTTTCAAGTGAAAGAGCACAATGGTGAAGGAAAGAGTACAATGGTGAAGGAAAGAGTACAATGGTGAAGGAAAGAGTACAATGGTGAAGGAAAGAGTACAATGGCGAAGAAAAGACCACAATGGTGAAGGAAAGAGTACAATGGTGAAGAAAAGAGTACAATGGTGAAGGAAAGAGTACAATGGTGAAGGAAAGACCACAGTGGTGAAGGAAAGAGCACAATGGTGAAGGAAAGAACAATAAAGGATTTAGGGAGAGTGAGAACGAGCCGGCCGGAATTTACAACCAATGAACTTTGAGCAGCCAATGAACTTTGAGAAAAAGTTGATGATTTATTGTTTGCAATAAATTTTGTTTTAGTGATTGACTAATTGTGTTTATTTCTACTTTTATGATTTATTATTATCCGGCGCGCTAGCTAAGTTGGTTAAACTAGCCGCGCGGCAACCGGGTGACAAACTCCTTGTGGTACGCCCGGAGATAGACTGAAAGGCCACATGTTTCCCAGATTTACTGTATCTATCTTGGAGTCAAGGCTGAAGCGTTGTGATATCCATAGTCCTGAGCCAATGGGTTGATATTCATGGTTTCTTGATTAAAAAAATTATTTATTATTTGCATTAATTTCTATTTGTATTATTGTTTTTTTCAAGTAATCGTTACCTTTACAATAATCTCAACCTGTACAAAGCCTAACATTGGTAATGTATATTTCCAAACAAAAATAGCTCAACTCATTTTGTGAATTTGTAAACTTTACACAATGTGAACAACTCATCATACCTTCCAGCGATTCCCGCAGAGACTGAGACCCCGCCACTGAGGTCGTTTCCCAAGCCAGCTAAAATCTACCCTGAGATAGACGTCAAAGATTTCCTCAACAAAGTCCAGGCTCTGAAAGTGGACGATGATCGTGGATTTTGTGAAGAGTTTCAGGTAGGAAGAACTATCATCAAGTTGTATGTTACCCACAGTAGAATGATAGTTTAATATTTACTGTGTGTAGAAGCGAGCCACCATGATCTAGCGGCTAGACGCTCGCCTGGAAGGTCGTGGGTTCGAGTCCTGACGAAGACTGAACTTTTTTCAAAAATAACCTTGGCTCCCAGGTTGACCCATCCTTGAGTAGGTACCAGGTACATTCCTGGGAAGTAAAGGCGGCTAGCGTGATGCTGACCACATCACTCACTAGTGCCGTTTAGCCTATAAAATATAGGTCTAGCCCTATATACCCAATATACCCGAAGGCGTGTAAAATGGTCCTTCACTTGACTTGTATTGTGTTAAACAAACATTGTGTGGAAGCTGCGGAGATGTGGTTTTATATATAAAAAATGGAAACATCCTAGACATACAACAAGAAGGACGATGTCTTGAAAGAAACTGACTGACGTTGAAAAAACATTGTTCGCATTAGAAGGAGACAGTCTACATTCTTTGGTCACGTCATGGAAAGGAGAAAACTGGAGTACATTGTGACAGTTGGAAAGTTGGAGGGAAAAGAGGTAAAGGGAATCCGAGAGAGAAGATGCTGGGCGGTTTGAAATCATGGCATGGAGGAGCCTCGAGATCACGTTGACTGAAAGCACATGAGGCAAAAGGTTATGGAATTACATGCCTAACAATCCCACACGGTATACTTTAAGAAGAAGAAGATTATTAGGAGCCCGCGTTAGCGTAGTCGATAAGAGGCTCGCTTTCAAATCCAGCTGCGACTCGCTGCAGCCTACGGTCGGTGTTCGAAACCGGGCGGCTCCCGGGGTTCACCCAGCCTCTAGGAAATGGGTTCCGGAGTTGACACTCTGGGGTAAATGAAGGAACGTCGCTGTAGCTAAAGAATTACGTGCGAACGGCGACACAGGTGGAAAATTCATATCAGCTGTCCGTACTGGTGGCAGAGCACTTATGGTTTATAACTGTGTGCAGTGACGCTGGTTCACATCTCCCGACTTTACCTTACCTTACCTAATAAGAAAATTATTGTGTTTCGATAATTTTCTGTTTACGGTGAAATAATACAGCGTAACTGGCTATACTTATTCTGCAGGAGATAACAGAAACAACTCAAGGGTACCATTTTTCAGCCGAACATTTTTACCTGGAGAAAAATAAAAGCAAAAACAGATACCTCAATATACCTACATGTAAGTGAAAACAGGATCAGTCAGGCTCTCAGGTGCCGTCTTCACAATGAAGGTTAGCTACGACAGATCGCCAACACTCGGCATTCTTCGCTCTGGATGTGCTCTTTCTCGAATCGCTGTTTAATTATCTTTCAATGCTATCCTCCCAACTGTCTCGCTGTCTACATCTTGCTAGGTTACCTTTTGAGGCAACTGTGAAACGGTGAGTCAAATTTTTGGATGTCTAGCCAATAAAAACAGATCTAGAATACCCATACAACCTGACACAAACATTGTAACCATCCTGCGTCAAATAGAAAGAGAGGGAGGAAGAGATGGTTGGGAGAGAGAAGTGGAAAGAGGAAGAGAGAGAGAGAGGGAGAGAGTGAATAAGTAAGAGAGAGAGAGAGACAGAGAGAGAGAGAGAGAGAGAGAGAGAGAGAGAGAGAGAGAGAGAGAGAGAGAGAGAGAGAGAGAGAGAGAGAGAGAGTGAGAGAGGTGGGAAAGTCATAAAATTTTCCATGAAACAGTAAAAATGCCACTGACGATTCAAGCATATGATGATGAACATTCTTAAACTCGCTGGCTGATGAAATCAGCATCATACATGTCGCCTTTACTTCCCAGGAGATTAACTGGTAAACATTTCAAGTTGGGTTGATCTGTGAGCCATTGTCAATTAAAAAAAAAAAAAAAAATTGCCTAGATACGGATGCGAACTCAATACTTCCAAGCACTTATTCTGTCACTTCAGTGATCATCCTTAGGGATATCCTCAAACAGTGCGCCAAAATTCAGTCATCATCCTTATGGATATCATCAAACAGTGCACTGAAATTCAGTGATCATCCTTAGGGATATCCTCAAACAGTCTGCCAAAATTCAGTGATCATCCTTAGGGATATCCTCGAACAGTGCGCCAAAATTCAGTGATCATCCTTAGGGATATCCTCAAACAGTGCGCCAAAATTCAGTGATCATCCTTAGGGATGTCCTCAAATAGTGCGCCGAAATAAAACCGCGATCTCCAGAAGTGAGTCAATTGGCCCCACCATTTCACCATGGGATCTGTGAAAAAAGACGTTTGGCGGAGAGGTCAGAATGTCATAATCATGTATCCAGGGGTGTGGCTTCCATTCTCTGAAGGCACTAAAAAGAAAAAAACCGAATGTTTACATTTTATAGAGCCAGACTAGACACATTAGATACAGATGATACTTTTATCTTTCTAGACAAGTTAGACATAGATGATGCATTTATTATTTTAGGCACATTAGATACAGATGATACTTTTATCTTTCTAGACAAATTAGATATAGATGATACATTTACTATTTTAGACACATTAGATACAGATGATACTTTTATCTTTCTAGACAAATTAGATATAGATGATACGTTTATTATTTTAAACACATTAGATACAGATGATACTTTTTTCTTTCTAGACACTTTAGATATAGATGATACATTTATTATTTTAGACACATTAGATACAGATGATACTTTTATCTTTCTAGACAAATTAGATATAGATGATACGTTTATTATTTTAAACACATTAGATACAGATGATACTTTTTTCTTTCTAGACACTTTAGATATAGATGATACATTTATTATTTTAGACACATTAGATACATATGATACTTTTATCTTTCTAGACAAGTTAGATATATATGATACATTTATTATTTTAGACACATTAGATACAGATGATAACTTTATCTTTCTAGACAAATTAGATATAGATGATACATTTATTATTTTAGACACATTAGATACAGATGATACTTTTATCTTTCTAGACACATTAGATGTAGATGTTACATTTATTATTTCAGACACATTAGATACATATGAAACTCTTATCTTTCTAGACAAATTAGATATAGATGATACATTTATTATTTTAGACACATTAGGTACATATGCTACTTTTATTATTCTAGACACATTAGATATAGATAATACTTTTTCATTTTAGACAAATTAAATACAGATGATGTTTTTTTCAGTTTAGAGTCATTAGATACAGATGATAGTTTTATCATTTTTGACAAATTTGATATAAATGATACTTTTATTGTTCTAAAATCAGATGATCACAGCCGTGTGGTCCTGAAAGTAGATGACTTAAGCGGGGACCAGTCAGATTACATCAATGCTAATTATATTCATGTAAGTATTGACAAGTGACGTTTACCTAAATGTATACAGACAGACCAAAAAACATGGAGTAGGGAACTAGAGAGTGGCGTTAAAAAGATGGGGGCGGGGGCGGGGGGGGTGGCTGAAAAAGGGGGGGGGGAGGGGAGAGCTGCAGGCGATGGCAAAGGATAAGACCACTTGGCGGGAGTTGGTTGAGGGCCTGTGCTCCACTAGAAGATAAATAAACAGAGATGAACCTTTGAGGAATGTAGAAATAATTTATATAGGTATAATAAACAAACAATGTAATGATCGGCACTCATAGAAAAAAAATTAGAAAGGTAGAAGGACACACTGGACAACATAAAAACTGAAAGCTATAAGTACCGTGCTGGCAATCGAACCTGTCACCTTCAAATGGCGCGTGCGCGTCGCTGTGGAAACAAGTGTACTAAGAACATGACCAACTGGGCAACAAATTTGCTTCTTTATTGGCCAAGTACACTTGTTTCCAAAGCGACGCGCATGCGCCATTTTGAGGTGATAGGTTCGATTCCCGGGACTGTAATTATAGCTTTCTATGTTTTGGGGTCTAGTGTGTCCTTGTATCTTTCTACTTCTGGCTATCCTTCTAATAACGGCCACATATTATGGCGGCCAAAAACAGGGCCTCAGTCACATGTAAATAGCGCGCTTCCGTCACTTAAATTTCGGACTTTCGGTGGCTACCGCAGCTGCGCGGAAGTTCGCAATTTAAGTCGCCGGAAGTTCGCAAATTACATGTGACTGAGGCCATGTTTTTGGCTGCCATAATATGTGGTCGTTATTCGGAGGATTGCCCTACTTCTTTCTATGAGTGCCGATCAATACATTATCTATTGAAAGATAAAGGCAAGCAGAAGAAGAAGAGGTATTTAGACAGTAGAGTAACACTGATTACCCCTCAGCTACTTCCTTGCACTCTCAGTCTCACTTGAAGATGTTCCTTTTCTTCAATGGCAGCTCGTAGCTCACTCAAATAAAGGCCGCTCATGCTTCTGAAAATTGTTTAGCTTCTCTAAAGTGTTTCTTTGACTTCCCGTTTTGCTCCTTTTTTTTTTCTCTTCCTTATCCGTTAATTGTTTTAATTTGTCTAAAACCGTGTTTTGTCCATGCTTTATCACCTCTGCATAGCAAACAGGGAAAGCAAAACTATACTTTTTAAAAAATAATTTCACAGTCGCTAAGTCAACTTTTCTCAGTTTGGTGTTGGTACCAATCCTGTTTAAAGTTGTTGCTGATTCCTGACCGAATGTTTACATATTAGCTGTTAAATGTGACTTTCTCATATAAAGACAACTGCGAAAACTTCAGCTTTTGAAGTTTCACATACAGTCAGTTTATTTCTTGGGGATGCAGGGAGGTCATAGTCAAAGTAGAGGACCATTTTTCATGACCTTTGGGTGTATTGGGCATACAAGGCTAGACCTAATTTCGTCGACCACTCGGCACTCAGTGGGTGATGTGGTCAACATGACGCCGGCCGCCTTATGTCTGGTAGCCATTTAAGCCTGGGTCCACCTGGGACTCAAAGTCATGTTTGAAAAATGCCCGCTCCGCCATGATCTAAACCTATGACCTTTGGATGTGCCGGCGAGCATCTAGCGGCTACACCACTGTGGCTCACGCACGTGTATCTGATGTTTAGCCTTCGAGGGCCAGGGTGCCAAACACTCGAGGGGATTCTAATTGGGAATGTACCAATCGTCTGTGCTGAGTGATTCTTTAAGCATGATCCGGCGGCAGGCTGGTTACGCAGACAGTGGTTTGAGTCATTGTAAAATTCTTCTGTGTGTGCAGTTACCTTCATATTCGTCCCAGGGCATGCGGGCGTTGTTGGTAATGAGAGAGCTGATAGACTGGCAGGTGCTGCATTAATTGAAGATGGCCGGCCCATGGATCACGCAGACATTGTCATTGCATTTAGAGAGATAGGACGTTCTAATGATTTTGGAAGCAACGTGTCCATATCACTGCTATGAATACGAGAATTGAGAGTAAAGATCGGCACAGCCAAGCGTGAGAAGCGCACCGGATGCACACGAAGTCTTGTTAACCAACATAGGACTGGTACTATTAACTCACGACGCTGATGAATATGGCGCAGAACCAGCCAGTCTGTCTGTCTGCTCCTTTCTCAGCACACCGGCATGACCTGGAAACATCCGAATGGCGCTAACTACCCTGGACCTCTGAAGTGATGCTTGCCACTTTGCACGAAGAATGCCTGTCGCCAGTTTTCTCAACATGCTCAGTTACAATCACGGCATGTGTGTACAGCTGATTCTCAAGCCAGTGAAAGGCAGCAGTGACTGCCTCCACCTCCGTTCTCAGACTAGACGATGTGATATCATATGCCAGGCTTTGTTGCATTAAAGGACGTCCATTTGCTTTTGCCACAGTGTTTTTACTATAAAATTAAGTGAAACATTAAATATAAAAGTGGAAATGTTGATGAAGTTTTCTATGAGGTGTCTGAAAGAATATTTTCTCACTTTCAGGGTTACAAGAAAGCACGAGCTTACATAGCTACCCAGGGACCGTTAGCCAACACCGTCTGTGACTTCTGGAGAATGGTTTGGCAAGAGAACTCTAACGTCATTGTCATGATTACAAACTTGGCGGAGAAGGGGCGGGTAAATCATGACTTTCATCGATGTTTAAATAATAGCGTGCCCGGCAGCTTGTCATACATTAATTGTTTCATAAACTATTTTGCTGAACTCCATGAGATCCATCCAATTGTTATATCAATGCATTATGTCCAAGTTTTTATTTTACTATCCTATCTTACACCAATATATTCTGTCCAAGTTTTTATTTTACTATCCTATTCCGTAGTGGTATTTTCCACTTCTCAGACACACACTGATACTTAAGGTAAAGGAATATAAAGGTATAATAGAGGTCCCTTTGGGAACAAGCAACGGAATCAGTAGAGACAGAAGATTATTATGGCCTGGAGAGAATGAGGTACCTGGGTGTAACCAGAGGGTCTGGCCGGCTCAATACACTCAGAGGAAAGGCAAAACAGACATTTAACCAGATTGTCACCGGTACCATCAGTATTGGAACTCTGCGCTGGCTGCTGAAGATGAGGACGGAGCATGCATGGGAATGCCCCGAGTGCTGTGATGTTAATTCTTGACTCAACTCAACTGTGAAATATAGAGGTGTGTCGCCACTTGAAGTGATGGACCAGGGTTCATACTGTCAAGACATATTGACACTTCAGCATGGTCATCTAGAAACAAGTTCCCAACCTGGGCTTCAGCACGACCGGCGTTAGCCCGACCCGGTGACGTCAGCAGCACCTTCCGTCAGCTGGAGCCGGCCGTGGCTGTAGCCAACGTAGATACATATTATCGACGTTTCCTTCTGTCGGAGCGCATCCGCTTGAGAGGCGAGAAACCAAAAGTATGCAAACAGCAGATTTGTAAGAACAGACGTACCCGAAACATTCAAGTCGTGGAACGGGATCAAAGTCCAGACATGGGTGAACAGAAGGGACTTTACGCCCTAGTACCCTGCCGGTGAATATTAAAACAACCACAACTTTAAGTAACAATTTCTTAGCAAATACTGAACTCAGAAAATATGGTAGCTACTGAAAGAGTTGTGAAAGATACTCACATATACAGCTGCATACGTTAGTTACCAATACTTATTTGTTAAATCATACAAAATGAGTGGTAGTGGTGCTTTACATCTGTACATCTCTTGTACATCTCTTGTACATCTCTTGTACATCTCTTGTACATCAGTTGTGTTCGCCTTAAGGATGGACATACAAATATTTTTCAAAATGTTAGCAGGCGGAAGAATGTTGTTAGAGAACTGACTGTGCACGGGAACGGAGTCGATGTGTACTTCTTCAAATGTTGTGCTCACTTACAGTTGAATTTTAGATGTAGTAGACAGCGACTACTTTCAGCTATAACAGACTTGTAGCTACAGTAGATGTTGTTATGCTGACTACTTTCAGCTATAACAGACTTGTAGCTACAGTAGATGTTGTTATGCTGACTACTTTCAGCTATAACAGACTTGTAGCTACAGTAGATGTTGTTATGCTGACTACTTTCAGCTATAACAGACTTGTAGCTACAGTAGATGTTGTTATGCTGACTACTTTCAGCTATAATGTTATGTTATGTTGCTAGCGTGTTATCAGAACCCAAATTTAAGTGAGTGTAAGTCTGAAATTTTGTATTTTTTTTCAAGTGCTTGATTGTGAGACACTTTACTTCTCCTCTTCAGAGCAAATGTGAGCAGTACTGGCCGGCAAAGGGAGAAGAAGAATACGGCAGCCTGACAGTTCGCCTCGTTTCCACTGATCGGCATGCGTTTTATATAATCCGGGTTTTTGCTCTGAGTCTGACACAGGTAATCACAAATGGCCAGTTTTTTCTTTAGCATGCCGAATATTCTTCTTGTATGCGATCACTGGTCTTAGACTCCAGCGGAATGTGGTGGGTAGTCGTTTACTTCTAGACTTGAGTCTGCCTCTGCCTCCCACGCCTCAACCACCGTTTGATCTATCCGCCTAAGGAGACCCTGCTGCTAGCTAGGCCTGCGTGCCTAAATTGTGACCTTTAACAATAACGTTTGTTTGTTCGTCAGCTCTGAGTCATTGAAAAAATCTTAGGGTTCACCATCTTGGCAGGTTGGTTACCCTATCGGAGCTAGGTAGGTAGATTACTTCCTCCCCCCAGGATTTCAATCTGCAGTATTAACACCTCAAAAATGAGAATCAAACCGGTACAAATCCAAGAGGTCCCGTTCAACTGTAACATTCATAATGGGGTCTTGGCGGTTACATGTAAACTCAATTCCAGACCGGGCAGAGACTGTCGATGATTACAACATTGGCAGAGAAATACTGCTCACAAACACTGGCATCCGGTCAAAGGCACCGATTTGTGTTGAGCACTGAACATTGCACTCCGGCCACACGCACAGAGAAGTACTGGCCACTGGCCATTTGCATGCAATTAAAATTTGTTTCGCAAATATTGACACCTAATTTTCTAGTGTGCTATTTCCGTAAAGTAGTATACCACCCCCCCCCCCCCAACCCTCCCCCACCCATTCCCCCGAGCTATCTCAACCCTATTGGCGCACACACTAGATTCATATTTGTATAGGCCAATCGGTCCAACGATGAGGGATGTACTCAACAGCACACCGGTCGCCTTTAAGTCCCAGGATATTACCAGGTACTCATTTTAGTCTGGGCAGACCTTTGAGCCAAGGTCACCTCAAGGAAAAAACACCGTCACAATGCGAAATCTACCCAAGATTGCCGGAAAGGCTAACCCGGACAACAAATGCCTGCAGAAGTCGGATGTGTCGGCCGAGAGGCACATATATCGCAGCCATGCTGTAAACGAGCTCAACACAATCACATCTTTGCATGAAAGCAGAAGACAAACCCAAGACTTTTGCACAAGCAAATGAGTGTGTAGTCACCAGGTTATTGTAGCTTACTAGCAGTCATCTTAGAAATAGTTTTAACCAAGGCTTTTTTCCCCCTAGAAATAAAAACAGGGCCAGTATACAACATAAAGTGTGAAAAAGTGCCAGTATACAACATAAAGTGTATAAAAAAGGTGCCAGTATACAACATAAAGTGTGAAAAAGTGCCATTATACAACATAAAGTGTATAAAAAAGGTGCCAGTATACATCATAAAGTGTGAAAAAGTGCTTTTATACAACATAAAGTGTATAAAAAAGGTGCCAGTATACAACATACAGTGTATAAAAAAGGTGCCATTATGCAACATAAAGTGTATAAAAAAGGCGCTAGTATACAACATAAAGTGTATAAAAAAGGTGCCAGTATACAACGTAAAGTTTATAAAAAGGTGCCAGTATACAACATAAAGTTTATAAAAAAAGTGCCAGTATACAACATAAAGTTTGTAAAAAGGTGCCAGTATACAAAATAAAGTGTATAGAAAAAGGTGCCAGTATACAACATAAAGTGTATAAAAAGGTGCCAGTATACAACATAAAGTTTATAAAAAGGTGCCAGTATACAACATAAAGTTTATAAAAAAGTGCCAGTATACAACATAAAGTGTATAAAAAAGGTGCCAGTATACAACATAAAGTTTATAAAAAGGTGCCAGTATACAACATAAAGTGTATAAAAAAGGTGCCAGTATACAACATAAAGTGTATAAAAAGGGTGCCGGTACTGCTGACAAAGTGGCTCTTACAGGAGTGCTGTGGGAAAACATGCTTTTAAAAAAAAAGATGTCAATAGTGGGTATCGTTGAGCTGGTTGCAATTGGTTGTCTTAGCATGTTGTACATTGTGTTCAGCTCTTGTAATTAGCATAGGTTTGTAACATTGCAAACCACTGGACGTCAATTTGAAAACCACAACAGCCAAAAAATGACGGAGTTGCTTCTGCAACGTCCTGTAAAGGATACGCAACTAACTTTGTAACATTGTGTCCAGCTCCAAGCAAGGGGCTGTACTGACGTCAGGACAGTACACCACTATCACTACACCCAGTGGCCCGATCATGGAGTGCCTTGTCACGTGTTACCTGTCCTGTCTTTCGTGCAAAAGTCCGCAGCTCAGAGGAAGCCAGCGTGTGGTCCTGTCGTTGTCCACTGCAGGTTTGTAATGTTTTGTGGTCCTGTCGTTGTCCACTGCAGGTTTGTAATGTTTTGTGGTCCTGTCGTTGTCCACTGCAGGTTTGTAATGTTTTGTGGTCCTGTCGGTGTCCACTGCAGGTTTGTAATATTTTGTGGTCTTGTCGGTGTCCACTGCAGGTTTGTAATGTTTTGTGGTCCTGTCGTTGTCCACTGCAGGTTTGTAATGTTTTGTGGTCCTGTCGTTGTCCACTGCAGGTTTGTAATGTTTTGTGGTCTTGTCGGTGTCCACTGCAGGTTTGTAATGTTTTGTGGTCTTGTCGGTGTCCACTGCAGGTTTGTAATGTTTTGTGGTCCTTTCGTTGTCCACTGCAGGTTTGTAATGTTTTGTGGTCTTGTCGGTGTCAACTGCAGGTTTGTAATATTTTGTGGTCCTGTCGTTGTCCACTGCAGGTTTGTAATGTTTTGTGGACCTTTCGTTGTCCACTGCAGGTTTGTAATGTTTTATAGTCCTGTCGTTGTCCACTGCAGGTTTGTACTGTTTTTTGAAGGATTGTTTTTTCATCTCCAAATTGTCAATGCTGAACACATACACACACACACACACACACACACACACACACACATAAATCATTATCAGCATCATCAATGTTTAATAGCAAAGGATTCCCTTGGTGAGGTGGTTACGTTGTTTAACACACTCTCTGACGATCATTGTTTAGCTTTAAAACTGACGTACGATCACTAGAGCACCAGTGATTAGTCTAAGTTAAATTTAGTCTGTCAGGGGATTGGTCATACAGCCAACCAGTTATCTGGCTTGTCTAGTCTGTCAGGGGATTGGCCATACAGCCAACCAGTTATCTGGCTTGTCTAGTATGTCAGGGTATTGGTCATACAGCCAACCAGTTATCTGGCTTGTCTAGTCTGTCAGATGATTGGCCATACAGCCAACCAGTTATCTGGCTTGTCTAGTCTGTCAGATGATTAGTCATACAGCCAACCAGTTATCTGGCTTGTATAGACAAATATTGCCCAATTAACCCGAAGTGGTTTTACTAGGCAGTCTCATTTTCTCTAGTCTGCCATTGCTCTCTGAACCTTCCACTCTAGACCCCCATGTCGAAATTAGCGCAAGGCGGTATGTCGCCTAATATTCTGCAGTTAAAATCGAACCGAGTACCTCAGAATTATGAAGCGTGTTCGCAGTGCCTAAGCCACAAAGCCGACTAAATAAATGTAATAATAATTCAAGTGTAAGTTATTGTATAGATAAATGTAAAAATAGAATGAGGATAAACTGGCCGATTGGTTAGGCTGCATTGGGCTCTCCTGTGAGAGAAATGGGTTCAGTCCTCGTTAAGGGATGCATATTTTGTTTTTCGTCGGAGGAATTCCCCTTCCCCCCCTCCCTCCCTTCCCCCCCCCCCCGACTTTCCCCCGGCCTAAAAGTGCTAAATACTGGAAGGTAAGGCAGTATCGATAAATAATACGATGTGATTGGTGATTAACAACTCAGTTCTAACCGCTGTAATAAAAACTACTGGATAGCAGACCAAATTAGACAGTTTTCAAGACGTCTTCTATTTGTTTCAGTGCTGGAGTTGGCCGAACTGGCACCTACATCTTGATTGACAGCATGATCTGCCAGATACTGGACAAGCGAAGTGTCAACATACCTGGCTTTCTGGTGGAGATTCGCAAGCAGAGATACTGTTTAGTTCAAACCAAGGTTGTGTAACTGTTTTCTTCTTAGTTAATCTCCTGACTGAAGTCAACTTTTAATAAACAGATATGATCATGCTATAGGAGACACTGAGAGACTGATTCCACCCGGACTAGGAGCGAGCCGATGTGGTCTAGCTGCTAAACGCTCGCCTGTGGATCGAAAGTTTGTGGGTTCAGGCCCTGACAGGGGGCAGAGTTTTTTCAAAAATGACCTCGGCTTTCAGGTCGACCCAGTGTTGAGTTGGTACCAGGTACAGACCTAGGAAGTTAAGGCGGCCGAGAGACGCTGACCACATAACCCACCAAGTGTCGTTTGGTCTATTAAATATAGTATATACCTAACCAAGCGGAACAGCGCATAAATGCATTTGAATATAAATGTTACAGACAGGTTCTAAGAATATCTTGGGTAAAGAAAAGAACAAATGCATCCATACTTCAAGAGCTGAATATTGAAGAGGGTTGGCTAGTAAAGACAATAAAACAAAGAAAATTGAAATATTTTGGTCACTTGAAACGTCATGGAAGTCTAGAGAGAACAATAATGGAGGGGTATATGCCTGGGAAGAGAGGAAGAGGAAGGCCAAGGAGAAGATGGGTGCAGGATGTGGCAGATGATCTCCAGATGGGTGTATCAGACGCATGACATCTTGCTCAGGATAGGAAGGTTTTCCGGAGGGTTGTTATGGCAGCGAGGTTCCGCGAGGGACATGCTACTTAATGAATGAATGAATATACCTAACAAGCCCGAAGGCGTGGGAAAACGGTCATTTACTTATTAACTCTGATTAGGATGCGAAATCTGGGTACATTCGGGGGAAACAAGATGCGAAAATCACACAAAAGATCACAGTCGTTAGGTCGGTCAATAAAGAACAGACGTCTTCCTCGTAAACACACTACAAAAAATACAAGCTAAATATAATATCTAAACATTGATGCGTGTGTCCGATGGGCACTGAAGATGATTCTGTAAATAACGATAAACAGTAAACATCTATTTGACTCCCATAGTTTATTGACTACAATGTTAAGAAATATTGGATAGGTGGTTCCTGGTAGAAGTGGATAGGTTTTTCCTGGCAGAAGATTCAATGGTGAACTGGCAAGAACATGGATGAGGGAGACATGAGAGCTACTTGGATGATGACACACAAGAAGTAGAGGACCTGGCACCGAACCGAGACTTTTTTTGACTGGCAGTGATGTAAATGAGGATTCAAGGACCTAATGCAAAACTGGTCCATCAGGTGCCGTCTTCAAAAAGCCGGTTGGCGGCAATGGATCTCCAAGACTGTATTGCCCCTCTTGTTTGTACACTCTTTCATATAGCTGTTCATCTATCTTCCGGTCAAAATGGACGTTAGGCAGCGGCACTGTTCGAAACAGAGGCACATTTTTTACTTCTGCCTGACGGTGGCCGATGCATATTTGCTCCATTTGTAGACTGGATATAGTTTCGTCACCCAGCTTCTGAGTTGAATGCATGGCGTGACCCTGTGAGCTGCGGATTGCATTTGGAATGTTTTTTTGACTGTGACCATCATGTTGGTGTGAATTGTAGATTCAGAAAATGGCGCGATGCCTGTCGTGCAGTGTTGTCGTGCCCGTATGTGATTAAAATTTATCGCGTGGGCAACTGCTGATCTGTTGGCGAATTCTGCTACCATCAATGATGAACTGCAATTCTAATACTGTGATAAACATTCTGTGTGTTTTTCGTTGGCACAGGAGCGGAGCAAAGATGGGGTGACCCGTTTGCTATGAAGCTGAAACTAAGACTACCAGACTACCAGACCAGATCTATCTTTTGATGCTACCCTCCAGCCTGTATTGCTGCCCTTCTCGCCTTTGGCGCTTCCCCTCCAGAATAGTTTTCAAAACAACAGCTTGTTCATTATCAATCCAACCAAGCGCCTCATACAATAATATTGTGCTATGACTGACACTTCCGTCAACTACAGATTGCACATCTGCTGGCGACTGTTGGTTTAACTTTTGTAGCAAATGATTTATGTTTCCCTACGTGAGCATGTTTCTAGATTTTTGCGATGACTAATTGTTAGTTTACTCGTTTTTAAATTGGAGAGCAAGGTGTTTTTCATATGGTTATCACCGACACATGAACAGAACAATCATGACCTGGTCCATTTGCAGTAAAGTTGAAACCTGGACTAGCACAACGTTTACGGACGTGACGCGCCTGGGCCAATCTCAAAGCTATATATTTTGAGATGACTACGGCTGTAAATATTTCTGGGTGTGTCTAGTTGTCCATGTTCTTAGTGCACTTGTTTTGATAGTGAGGCGCACAAGCCGTCTGGAGGTGACAGGTTCGATTCCTGGCCCGGTAACTTAAGCTTTAGATTTTTATGTTGTCTCGTGTCTTTCTACTTCTTTCTATGAGTGCCGATCAATACATTTTCTGCTACTTTATTAATGTAGACAATAGTTACATGCCTGCCTGACCACTGGCTACTAGATACCCACAGCTTTAATATGGAGAGTGCAACGTTTTGTTGTCTTGTCTTCCAGGAGCAGTACAAATGTATACACGAGGTGCTGGTGGAATACCTTCAAGCGAATGCCACAACAGAAGTCAGCGAGGACCAGTTGTCGGATTATCTGTCCTTGCTGGAGCAACCCTATCAGAACATGTTCATGTCCTACAGCCCACAGGTCCCAGTGACTCTCCTGGAGAAACAGTTTCAGGTAAATCTTCTCTGCAAACAATCATTCTGTTTTTTCTTTAACTTATATTTAAAAAAACACTCGGAAAACTTCAATAATAATTAAAAGTAAAGTAAAGGACCCTTTTCCACGCCTTTAGGCGTGATGGGTATATAGGGCTAGACCTTTACTTTATCGACCAAACGGCTCTTGCTGGGTGATGCGGTCAGCATCAAGCTGGCCGCCTTTATTTCCCAGGACGGTACCTGGTACCCACTTAAGGCTGGTCGGCCTGGGAGCCAAAGTCATTAAAAAAAAATCTGGCTCGTGCCAGGAACCGAAACCGCGACCTTCAGATCGGCAGGCGATGGTCTAGCCATTAGACCACGGCTGGTCGCCTTCAATAACAAGGCAAGCATATTATTATCTATGACCGCCTGTCTTCTTGTGATACATGTTCTCCTGCAAATCTGAAGGTCGTAACGGAGCCGTACTTTTCTCAATAATGACCGCGGCTCCCAGGTACACCCAGCTTTAAATGGGTGCCAGGTAAAGTCTTGGAAAGAACAGGCGACTGACCTGATGCTGACCACATCACCCACAGAGTCCCGACTGGTCTATCAAATATGGGTACTTTACCCCTACTTCTGGTAGTCCTTGCCTTCAGTCATGTCTATCGACAACTTGAGTCAGCGAGGACCAGTTGTCGGATTATCTGTCCTTGCTGGAGCAACCCTATCAGAACATGTTCATGTCCTACAGCCCACAGGTCCCAGTGACTCTCCTGGAGAAACAGTTTCAGGTCAATCTTCTCTGCAAACAATCATTCTGTTTTTTCTTTAACTTATATTTAAAAAAACACTCGGAAAACTTCAATAATAATTAAAAGTAAAGTAAAGGACCCTTTTCCACGCCTTTAGGCGTGATGGGTATATAGGGCTAGACCTTTACTTTATCGACCAAACGGCTCTTGCTGGGTGATGCGGTCAGCATCAAGCTGGCCGCCTTTATTTCCCAGGACGGTACCTGGTACCCACTTAAGGCTGGTCGGCCTGGGAGCCAAAGTCATTAAAAAAAAATCTGGCTCGTGCCAGGAACCGAAACCGCGACTTCAGATCGGCAGGCGATGGTCTAGCCATTAGACCACGGCTGGTCGCCTTCAATAACAAGGCAAGCATATTATTATCTATGACCGCCTGTCTTCTTGTGATACATGTTCTCCTGCAAATCTGAAGGTCGTAACGGAGCCGTACTTTTCTCAATAATGACCGCGGCTCCCAGGTACACCCAGCTTTAAATGGGTGCCAGGTAAAGTCTTGGAAAGAACAGGCGACTGACCTGATGCTGACCACATCACCCACAGAGTCCCGACTGGTCTATCAAATATGGGTACTTTACCCCTACTTCTGGTAGTCCTTGCCTTCAGTCATGTCTATCGACAACTTGAGTCATGTCTATCGACAACTTCAGTCATGCCTATCGACAACCTGAGTCATGTCTATCGACAACTTGAGTCATGTCTATCGACAACTTGAGTCATGTCTATCAACAACTTCAGTCATGTCTATCGACAACTTCAGTCATGTCTATCGACAACTTGAGTCATGTCTATCGACAACTTGAGTCATGTCTATCGACAACTTGAGTCATGTCTATCAACAACTTCAGTCATGTCTATCGACAACTTGAGTCATGTCTATCGACAACTTGAGTCATGTCTATCGACAACTTGAGTCATGTCTATCAACAACTTCAGTCATGTCTATCGACAACTTCAGTCATGCCTATCGACAACCTGAGTCATGTCTATCGACAACTTGAGTCATGTCTATCGACAACTTGAGTCATGTCTATCAACAACTTCAGTCATGTCTATCGACAACTTGAGTCATGTCTATCGACAACTTGAGTCATGTCTATCGACAACTTGAGTCATGTCTATCGACAACTTGAGTCATGTCTATCGACAATTTGAGTCATGTCTATCGACAACTTGAGTCATGTCTATCGACAACTTGAGTCATGTCTATCGACAACTTGAGTCATGACTATTGACAACTTGAGTCATGTCTATCGACAACTTGAGTCATGTCTATCGACAACTTCAGTCATGTCTATCGACAACTTCAGTCATGTCTATCGACAACTTCAGTCATGTCTATCGACAACTTCAGTCATGCCTATCGACAACTTCAGTCATGTCTATCGACAACTTGAGTCATGTCTATCGACAACTTGAGTCATGTCTATCGACAACTTGAGTCATGTCTATCGACAACTTGAGTCATGTCTATCGACAACTTCAGTCATGTCTATCGACTACTTTAGTCATGTCTATCGACAACTTCAGTCATGTCTATCGACAACTTCAGTCATGTCTATCGACAACTTGAGTCATGTCTATCGACAACTTCAGTCATGTCTATCGACAACTTGAGTCATGTCTATCGACAACTTGAGTCATGTCTATCGACAACTTGAGTCATGTCTATCGACAACTTGAGTCATGTCTATCGACAACTTGAGTCATGTCTATCGACAATTTGAGTCATGTCTATCGACAACTTCAGTCATGTCTATCGACAACTTGAGTCATGTCTATCGACAACTTCAGTCATGTCTATCGACAACTTCAGTCATGTCTATCGACAACTTGAGTCATGTCTATCGACAACTTCAGTCATGTCTATCGACAACTTCAGTCATGTCTATCGACAACTTGAGTCATGTCTATCGACAACTTTAGTCATGTCTATCGACAACTTCAGTCATGTCTATCGACAACTTGAGTCATGTCTATCGACAACCTGAGTCATGTCTATCGACAACCTGAGTCATTTCTATCGACAACTTGAGTCATGTCTATCGACAACTTGAGTCATGTCTATCGACAACTTGAGTCATGTCTATCGACAACTTCTGTCTCGTGTATTTTCAGTAATTTCTGACACAGATGAAGTTCCATACATTCATGCTCAACTGTCCAGCGTCTTCTCTCTAAGTCTCCGTCTGCTTCTTGTTCCAGGTAACTTTCCCACGGTCACTCCAGTTGCTCTCCATCTCCAGACGTGATCAAACAAAGATTGTGTGTTGTCTGTTTTTGATGTGATCAGTCAGTTCTCTTGATTAGTCATTTTGTTTTCCAAACATCTCCTTCATAAGGTCCACACCGTGTGGCGTTGGTAGTCACGTCTATCCACAACCTTCTGTCTCGTGCACTTTCAGTGAACTCTGACACAGATGATCCTCCATGCCATGATGTCAAACTGTCCAGCATCATTCTCTCGGTCTCCCTCTACCTCTCCTCCCCTGCAACTTTTCTACCGGCACGATGCACTCCAGTTTGCTCCTACTCATCACATGACTAAAGAAAGTACATTGTCTTCTTCGGATGTGGGCAGTCAGTTTTCTTCGTGAGTCAGTTTCTTGCAAGACATGTTCATTACTTTTTTTTATCTGTCCAGTGTATTCTCATCATTCGTCTATAATATACTGTTTAAAAAAAAAAAAGAAACGCATAGTTACTGAAAGGAACACACATACTCACAATTTTGACATTCTGCATCTTTGTAATGCAGTAAGTAAAATTACTCAAATTTCACACAAGAATAGCTCAGGGTTCCACCAATCAATTAACACCCCCCCCCCCCCCCCCCCATCTGGGTCACGATATTTATAAAGCGTAGGCCTTTTCCGTTAGTTTGTATGGTGTGTGGCCTCCTCTTGCGTGGATCAATGACAGACATCTCCTGGGTATGGATGCGATCAGATGTCTGATGTGGGCCTGTGGGATGGCTGCCTTCTCTTCCTGGAGTGCCTGGAACAGATCACGACCATTGGCTGGAGCAACGTTTCGGCGACAAACACGTCTTTGCAGCTCATCCCACAGGTGTTCAATCGGACTCATGTCTGCAGACAGGGATGGCCAGGGAAGGGTTTGAATGTTATTTGCAGCCAGGAACTGCGTGGTCAGCTGTGCAGAAGGGGGTTTGGCGTCCGGTTGAAAAAGATATCTGTTGGCATCCTTAAATTAAGGGACATGTGGTCTAAGAATGTTATGGACGTATTGTTGCGTATTCAAGCTTCCTTCAATGTGCACCAATTGACTCGTTCCGTTTATACCCCTACCCCAGTGCAGCAGAGCTTCATCAACACAATTTTGAGCTAAACTTTCATTTCGTCTACGGTAGACCCTACGCCGTCTATCATGACGCTGCAACAAAAAGAAAGATTCGTCATTGAACCAGACGCGTCTCCACTGACCGTCACTTGCCCAGGGACGATGCTGGTTTGCCCAAAGAAATAGATTTTGGCGGTGGCGACGCGTAAGGACAGGTCTTCGGTGTGGTCGTCGAGCCCAAAGTCCAACATCGTGCAGTCTGCTAGTAACAGTTTGATCAGACACATGACGTCCTGGAGGCAATGCCTGTGTAGTTGAGGAAGCTGTTGTAAACCTATCCCTGAGGTGACGAGCCGAATAAAGTGATTCTCCGCTGCTGTTGTCATTCTGGGTCGTCCATTACGATGTCGATCTTCAACTGAACCAGTGGATTGGAACCAGTGCCAAAGTCTACTGATAGTACTCTGATGCACGTTTAGATGCATGGCAACCTGACTTTGACTTTCTCCTGCCTGCAATCGGCCAATAGCAAGATTCCTTAAATTTTTCGATAGAGGCGCCATTCATGACTGCTTGAAAATGAACTGATTGTTTTCGTGTAGCGTTGTCTTTTTATAGGGTTTCAGTTGCGTAGGTAGTGAATAGTATTCACCGCAAATTTGTGTACTTACATCTTTTGTTTATCAGCTGTTGTTGAGTGTTGATCTAAGAACTCACATCACACCATTCGGAATATTTCTATAAGCGCTCCGTCCTCATCCAGTTCCGACTGCTCCAGTTTGATTATGTGTCCGTCCTTTTTTCTTCTCAGAGTGTAGAGTTTCAACCAGACCAGATCTCCTAGATGTACTGTTCTCTCCAAACCATGAAAATCTTTTGTTTATCCAAACACACAAAAACTCAGACTTTCTAGTTGTTCTTTTTTTCTAACTCGCTGTTAAAGTGTTTTTTTTTTTAAAGAGGTTTTATTCAATGTGTGCAGTTAATCACGGAATACACGGCTAGAGAGTCTGACCTTTCCCCTGCCCTGGATCCATGGAATCAAGCCAAGAACAAGCCAGGAAGCCTCCTGCCCGTGTCTTCCAGCCGGGTTGTGTTGCCGGCTTGGCCTGGGAAGGCTGGATCTGATTATATCAACGCTTCTTTCTTGCAAGTAATGACGGCATGACTTTGTACTCGTGTTATCTCTTGTTATTAACAACTTCTCTTTATGATGCACAAATAATAATAATTATTATAACAACAACAACAAAAATAATAATGGCTTTTTTCTGGGTATACTCAGTACCGGCACCTTTGAAAACAGGTAAGGGGAGGTGGAAAAAAAAAAGGGGGGGGGGGGGGGGGTGGAATTTATGTTTCAACGCTGTAAATAACACTTGGGAGCGAGTGATGGCACCTTTTATTAGAAATGGTGTGCTGAATACTGGCAACTTTTTTCGTCACTTCTGTGGTGAGTATCGGCACCCTTTAAAAAAAGGTGGGGGGGGGGGGGGGGGGGAGCGGAAGGCGGTGGAAATCCGTTATTGAAAAATATCACCTTTCTGAACGTGCATATATCCAATTACAGCATATTTTCTTCACCTCATGATTCGCTGAAAGTTAAGTTCTCTCCCAAAGACATTCTAATGGATTCTATCAAACCAGTTATCTTTCTGCTTGTCTGAGCATCAGAGCAGGAGAACAGACTGTCGCGTGTAGATGCTTGTCTGAGCATCAGAGCAGGAGAACAGACTGTCGCGTGTAGATGCTTGTCTGAGCATCAGAGCAGGAGAACAGACTGTCGCGTGTAGATGCTTGTCTGAGCATCAGAGCAGGAGAACAGACTGTCACGTGTAGATGCTTGTCTGAGCATCAGAGCAGGAGAACAGACTGTCACGTGTAGATGCTTGTCTGAGCATCAGAGCAGGAGAACAGACTGTCGCGTGTAGATGCTTGTCTGAGCATCAGAACAGGAGAACAGACTGTCACATGTAGATGCTTGTCTGAGCATCAGAGCAGGAGAACAGACTGTCACGTGTAGATGCTTGTCTGAGCATCAGAACAGGAGAACAGACTGTCACGTGTAGATGCTTGTCTGAGCATCAGAGCAGGAGAACAGACTGTCACGTGTAGATGCTTGTCTGAGCATCAGAACAGGAGAACAGACTGTCACGTGTAGATGCTTGTCTGAGCATCAGAGCAGGAGAACAGACTGTCGCGTGTAGATGCTTGTCTGAGCATCAGAACAGGAGAACAGACTGTCACGTGTAGATGCTTGTCTGAGCATCAGAGCAGGAGAACAGACTGTCACATGTAGATGCTTGTCTGAGCATCAGAGCAGGAGAACAGACTGTCACGTGTAGATGCTTGTCTGAGCATCAGAGCAGGAGAACAGACTGTCGCGTGTAGATGCTTGTCTGAGCATCAGAACAGGAGAACAGACTGTCACGTGTAGATGCTTGTCTGAGCATCAGAGCAGGAGAACAGACTGTCACATGTAGATGCTTGTCTGAGCATCAGAGCAGGAGAACAGACTGTCACGTGTAGATGCTTGTCTGAGCATCAGAACAGGAGAACAGACTGTCACGTGTAGATGCTTGTCTGAGCATCAGAGCAGGAGAACAGACTGTCGCGTGTAGATGCTTGTTTGAGCATCAGAGCAGGAGAACAGACTGTCACGTGTAGATGCTTGTCTGAGCATCAGAGCAGGAGAACAGACTGAGGCGCGTAGATGCTTGTCTGAGCATCAGAGAAGGAGAACAGACTGTCACGTGTAGATGCTTGTCTGAGCATCAGAACAGGAGAACAGACTGTCACGTGTAGATGCTTGTCTGAGCATCAGAGCAGGAGAACAGACTGTCGCGTGTAGATTCAACCCTACCAGGACCGTACAACTAGCGACCAAAACCCGGTGACACAATGTGCACCCATTCAGATGAGGATCTTCCCAGCACGAATCCTAGTTCACCCCAGCACAAGTCTCAGTTCACCCCAGCACAAGTCCTAGTTCACCCCAGCACAAGTCCCAGTTCACCCCAGCACAAGTCCCAGTTCACCCCAGCACAAGTCCTAGTTCACCCCAGCACAAGTCCTAGTTCACCCTAGCACAAGTCCTAGTTCACCCCAGCACAAGTCCTAGTTCACCCCAGCACAAGTCCCAGTTCACCCCAGCACAAGTCCTAGTTCACCCTAGCACAAGTCCTAGTTCACCCTAGCACAAGTCCTAGTTCACCCCAGCACAAGTCCTAGTTCACCCCAGCACAAGTCCTAGTTCACCCTAGCACAAGTCCTAGTTCACCCCAGCACAAGTCCTAGTTCACCCTAGCACAAGTCCTAGTTCACCCTAGCACAAGTCCTAGTTCACCCTAGCACAAGTCCTAGTTCACCCTAGCACAAGTCCTAGTTCACCCTAGCACAAGTCCTAGTTCACTCTAGCACAAGTCCTAGTTCACTCTAGCACAAGTCCTAGTTCACCCTAGCACAAGTCCTAGTTCACCCCAGCACAAGTCCTAGTTCACCCCAGCACAAGTCCTAGTTCACCCCAGCACAAGTCCCAGTTCACCCCAGCACAAGTCCTAGTTCACCCTAGCACAAGTCCTAGTTCACCCTAGCACAAGTCCTAGTTCACCCCAGCACAAGTCCTAGTTCACCCTAGCATAAGTCCTAGTTCACCCCAGCACAAGTCCTAGTTCACCCTAGCACAAGTCCCAGTTCACCCTAGCACAAGTCCTAGTTCACCCTAGCACAAGTCCTAGTTCACCCCAGCACAAGACCTAGTTCACCCCAGCACAAGTCCTAGTTCACCCCAGCACAAGTCCTAGTTCACCCCAGCACAAGTCCTAGTTCACCCCAGCACAAGTCCTAGTTCACCCCAGCACAAGTCCTAGTTCACCCCAGCACAAGTCCTAGTTCACCCCAGCACAAGTCCTAGTTCACCCTAGCACAAGTCCCAGAAACCCCGTTCAACCGTTAGGTTATATTAAGGCCCCCGACTATAGCCGGGATGGATCTTTGAAATAACGAACAAGCGTGTTCCATATTGGGATGGCATTGTGATGTGCGGGCTCGTATTTGAATGAAATAAGAAAGTTATTAAAGAAAAAATCAATGATTATAGAGATTAGGTGTGACGAATTTAAATTAACCTCTGCTGTAGTTTTTTTATCATTATCATCACCATCATGTGGTGCCAATAAACATCATATATGGCTCCTAGTTTTTCATCATCCTCATCATCATCATCATGTGGTACCAATAAACATCATACATGGCTCGCAGTATCGAGTTCGTCATTATATTTTCGCTTATGAAATCATGTTGATATCATGGATGGAATTCAGTACTTACCTTTTGCTTTCTCTCGGCAACTTTCCTTTTGGATTTTCGTGTTTCCTCAGTTCTCCCCCCCCCCCCCCCTTTTTCCCTTTATTTCAGTGCTTTTGATTTTGTGCTCACTTTTTGTCGCGACATGTTCCCAGTAAAGCGATACCTTTGTATGTGTGTGTCTTATAATTGTTGACACCAATAGATGTCCAGACATTTGTCGTATTTCTTCGCCTCTCTTGATTTGATCTATTCGCACTGACAAACAATGGACTTTCCCTAGGGCTACGCAAAACCGGAAGAGTTTGTCGTGACCCCTCACCCCACAGACCTTACAGTGCCAGATTTCTGGAAAATGGTGTGGAACGTCAAGAGTCCGGTCATCGTTGTTCTGTCTTACCCGGGGGAGAAGGTCAGTACTATTGGTGTCGTGCTTAAATATAAATGTTTTTTATGTGAAACTAATGAACATATGCTGACTGGACCATTCGACGTAAAATAACGAATCAGAGACAGAAAGGTACATAACATCGGAAATTATATATCTTCTTTTTAGAGTCCATGCGTATAGCGTTGGTAGTCATGTCTTATCCACAACCTTCTGTCTGGTATAATTTCAATCAAATTTGACACAGAGGATCTTTCAGGCTATGATGTCAAACTTTCCAGCATCTTTAATTTTTTCTCTCGGTCTCCCTCTGCCTCTCCTCCCCTCCAGCTTTCTGTCACCATGTACTGTAGTTTTCTCCTTCTCATCACATGACCAAAGAATGTAGTGTCGCTTTCTGATGTGGACAATCAGTTCTCTTCATGAGCCGGTTTCTTTGAAGACGTCTGCATTACTCTTTTTATCTGTCCAGGGTATTCTCATCATTCGTCTATAAAACCACATCTACGCAGCTTCCAAAAAAGTTTTCACTAATTTACTAACTGTCCATGATTCACATACGTATGTCAATATAGGATTTATATAGCTTTTAAGAATTCTCTTTCTCGCCTCAGTTGACAAAGAAAGATTGCATAAAATATTCTTTATTTTGTAAAATGCTGCCTTTGCTTGAGCTATTCTACATGTAACTTCTTTAATATATCTTCCATCTGATGTTATCAGGGCACCCAATTACTTAAACATATCATCTTGTTTGAGGTTTGTCACATTTACTTTGATGTTGCATTTTGGAGGGCCAGTTTTCTTTTTAATTACCATTATGTACTTCTGTTTTTCTGCTGTTCAAACTAAAACGTTTTTTTTTCCACTTTCCGTTACAATTATATCTATCATTTCTTGCAGTTGTGTTTGTCACAGACCTCTGGGTGACCTTGCTGGTCCGTGGCTCGTAACTGGGCCTATGACAGACAGACTAACCTTTAACACACACTGAACCCGAACGCACACAGAGCACACACGACAATCTTTATTGTAAGTACAGGTAATACAATAGACAGTTGACTTCCCGCTGTGTGGCCACCTATTGCCTGGACCCTCTGGCCGAACGAGCTTTACAGTCGCCTCGCTCCCAGTACGTGCCACAAGCAATCTTCTGGTGTACAAACCACACGGTGACGAGATACGCTCTTAACTATTGACACACTGACCAACCAAACTGTCACAGCCTCTCTCTAGTACAGGGTCAGAGTGCCAAGGTTAGACATTCTCTCACAGAACATGTATAAATACCCTACACAATAACTATCCTATTCTAACAGAACACTGTACATAAACTATGCAGTCACTAACAGAAATATCCCAACTCTAATAGAAAACTGTACATAAACTATGCAGTCACTAACAGAAATATCCCAACTCTAATAGAAAACTGTACATAAACTATGCAGTCACTAACAGAA